TTATTTATTTATTTATTTATTTTAAGACACACCCTGCCTCCCTTGGGTTGCAAATGGAAAAAGAGTCAAAGAGCAGAGCAATTGCAAAAGAGCCTTGCTTCCAAAATGTCCTGGCTGGGGGGAAAATCTCTGCAGAGATTAGGCAATGAAGTGGTTAAGCATGCAGCATATCTTTAGTCCTCCAATCTCTATGCTATTTAAATTAAAGAGGTGTGTCTGCCTTCATCACATTCAATCTTTGTGGTAAGAGAGGACAGGCTGACATGGTAGCTAGGCTTTTTGATGGAATGTAGTTTTATTGAGACTGTAGGAACAGAAGCAACATGGAATCTTGTGGCACCTTCAAGACTAACCTGTTTAATCTGTCATCAGCTTCATTGGGCTGCTGCTCAGTTGTTTAAATACATGGCTGGTAGCATCATCCCTGCTGATGCTGGGAAGGAACTTCTCCAGGAAAAAATGGGCCACTTGTGGGTCATGCTTCATCATGGTGTGGTTTCCTCGGAGCTCTCCTTCGGTTGAGGCCTGTGCATTTAAGAAACAGAGAGGTGAATTTGTGGTGGTCGTGGCTAGGGTGGTCACAGGAAGGCAGCAGACGTTAGTAAAGATTCGAAATGGGAGAGCAGTAAATAAAGAAGAGGAAAGATTTTTGGACATGTTCAGGCCTGAGGTGTGGAGAATACAGTTTTTTCAGAAGGGTTTAGTCCACAGGAAGGAAGATTGAAGTTAAGTATGAGGAAAACCTTTTTTGACTATGAGATTATGCAAGAGAGCATGTTCCCAAGGTTGGTTTTAGAAGCGTTAACAATTGAAGGGTTTAAAGAGAGGCTTGAAAGATATCTGCTTGGGATGATTAAGGTATTGCTAATCCATCTTCCGTGCGGCAGGAGCAAGCCACTTGATCACGACAGGCTTTCAGGCTTTGCCCTAGTGAGCCAAATCATTAAAACAGAAATGACACGGTTCTAATCTTTCCCAGATTTAATGAAGACAAAGACAGACAGGTTAGCTGATGATACTCTCTCACATCCCAACCTGGCAACCAAGGAGGCCACAGCTTCTGTGCAGAACGCAGTACAGCATGGTGGTGCCCCATGGAGGTTGTGGGCTGTGCCGTTGGCAGGCAACTTTCTTTGATAGCTGTGTGGTCTGAGCAGCACTTGGAAGAGTTACTCTTTTTTTGGAAATGCAGCTACCAGAATCTGGCCCCCACCCCCGGCTAGTATGGCCAGCTAGTGGGAGTTGTAGGATAGCTCAGTGGTTTAGATCTCTGGGTGCGGAGCCAGAGGTTGGGAGTTTGATTCATAGGGTCCTTTCCAGCTCTGCAGTTCAAAAGTTATTGTTATTATTATAGTCCTCCTGTAATTTGTCTTAGGAAAGGATGTTTGGCCAGGTTGAACCATCTCACACGACACATTGCCAGCCGAGAAAAGCTGTGTCTGTTGAAATTATGTCTTCTACAGCTATATAAAGTCCTTCTGTCACTTCCAGTTTTGTGGCAGGGGGCATCTTGGGCTTAAACCAGTTTTGTGGGAAGTGAATAGCAAAATCGTCACCATATCTGAGGGGAAACAAGAATAAAGGCAGGAATATAATGTGGGTTTGGCCCTTTCAAATTCAGGGGTGGCCTCTCTGATGGTTACTCACTCCTGACTACCCGAGGTGTGCAAGTCCACTGTGTGTATTTGGTGTGGAGCATGAATGCCATGTCTCCACATTAACCCAAATTATCCAGCACCCCATTGCCTTGGATTGTAGAATACTTTTTTTTAATGCGGCAAAACCATATAATCTTGCCAGCAAAATCAAAACTGGAAAATGATGAAATCATTGGTCCCCTTCCAACAGGTAGCAAGGGGATGGTAGAAGACAAAACAGTGTGCAAGTTGGAGGGATTTTGGGAAAGGGAGTCGCTTAGGCTTTAAGAAGTCTTTATACCTTGATGCACTTCTTAGCAAAATTGTAATAACCCTGTTGGTGTAACCTTTATTCCACATACTCAGGACAATTGAAATTTTCCCCTTTTACAGCCACCATAAGATTTCTAATGAAGAAGAAGAATTATTTTAAAGGGAATTTGGGGTGGGTGGCTGAAAAGACAACATGAAAAAGTGACCCTGTTATTTCTTTAGTAGAAGACTCCATCAAAGCAAAACCTCCCAATTCCCCGCGTGCGGAGTGGGTGCTGCAGCCTAGACCTACACCGCCCAAAGGGAGAGACCCGAACGCTTGGAACCGGCTCAAGGACCAGTCTTTTGGTAGGAAAAAAAATATATTTTGCACGGATGACCAGTCGTGGCCAGCAGAGCAGAATTGACGGCCTCATTGTGTTCTTTCTGTCTCTCTTCTCTCTTTCTCCTCTTTCTGTCCCACTTCGGTAGGAGATTATCCACAAGCCTGACATTCTTCACATGCCCTTTTGTGTGTATGTGTTGCATAGGGTCTGATAAGGCATTGTTGACTTCTGTGTATACAGTGTATTGATAAACGGAAGGGAACTGGCTTGAGGACCAAATGTCATAAAAGTCCAACTCTCTGTTATTGACAGAGATGGTCTACTTGTCTTGGCATGGAATGGCCCCAATTCTTCTTTGTCTTCTTATTTCCATGAGCCTATTTCTTTAAAGGTTTGCCACCACAGAAATCTCAGAGATAATTGTGGGATAGAAAAAGTATTCTTGCTCCAGGAGAGAGGATGAATTAAATTGCAAATTTGGCCCAGCAGGTGCAACTTCTAGCTTGTACATCTGGACAGAGATTCACTGTACTGTCCCCTAGTACATTAAAGGGGGTTAGTTTGGCTCCAGTGCATAGGCCTTAAACATATGAACTGGTGCTGGCCTTGAAGATGAAGGTGCAATGACAAATCTTAAGAGACACTTCATTTTCTTTCTCAAGAGAGAGAGAAAGGCAGCAAAAGAGAGAGAAAGAGAGATTATTTGTTATTCTCTGTCAGTCCCTGCTCTGGATGCACAGCAGCTCTGTGAGAGAGCTTTATTAATCAGAAATGCCTGCTGCTTCCTTGCTTTCCCATTTTGCCACTGCCAAAAGCTGAAGCACAGTGGCTGAGCTTCTAAAAAGGCTGTGTCTGGGTTTATTTAGCTTGTAAATGGGAGAGTTGTTCTAAGTGCTGGAGCTTTTTTCACACACACACACACACCACCTCCATGGATGGGAGAACATAGAGCAGAAGATTCAATAGGACCAGCATTGGCAAAATAGTTACCGTGTTTTATTTCTCTTTCATTTAGAAGATAGAAACCCAACTCATCTTTAAAGATGACCATATGGACATTTATTTTTCACAGGCTAAAGACCTGTGGATCAATGTTCTAGTTTTGCCTTTTAAACAAATGGCTCCTCTAGTTTCATTTACAAGCCTCTCCTGACTTCAGTTTCGGTGGATCTGTAATATTATTCCATGTAATGTTTTTCTCAAGCATGTTAAACTGTCTTCTGCATGCACAATGTCACATGCACAATATCACACTACCTCTGCATTTGCATGCAAATGTGTGAGTTTCTCTTTGTTTTGTAGAACATATAACAGCCTTGCCTAGCTGTAACACTGAGATAAGGGACTCAGCTCTTTCTTTTTGTAAAGTCAACATTAAAATATTATATGACTTGAAGCCTGAAGTAGTTGCGACCACATTACAAAGTTCTGTTACTTGAATTAAATTGTCTCTGTTTTAATTTGATTCCTAGAAAACACCTTTATACCCTGCTGGTAACATGATTAGTCTGAGTGGATTGCAGGGGCATTGCTGTTAATTGGAGTCGATCGTAATTCCAATAACTTTGCCGGTTTTTCCCTGCAGTGCCGGTTTGTTTCTGTTTTGATAGGGCAGGATTTCAGCGTGATTCTCTGTGATATGTGAGGTCTTCTGAAATCACAGGCTGTTTATCATCTTGCTCTGAAAGGCATAGGTGTACTCTCAGCATTATAGGGTTGTTTTCTGGATGTTGCCTCGGCAGAACCAGAGATGGGTGACGTTCCATGTTTGTGGTTGCAAGCATTTGTAGCCAGCATGACTATTAACTGTGCTGGTTGCAGTGTTCTGGGAGATATAAAGCAAATAAAAAAATGCTGTAGTAAAGTTTGTGTACAAGAGAATGTATCCAAATGGTGGAATAGGATGCTGAGAAAATACAGTACTGTACTATAGATTAAGATTCCAGTCTAGCAGCCAGAACCCTGAATGAGGACCTGGGAGACTTGCAGATAATCTGTACATGGGTTTTGTCTTGAGTAGCAATTAGCACATTACTTTCTTTCCTCCAGTTCAGTTGCCCCTTCTGCTGGAAAGGCATGTCGCTGATCTGGAGGGAAACCATGAGGAATAAAACGAAATGAGGAAATTGTATAATCCCTCCTGACATTGTTAAATGGTGTTTTCAAAAAGCACTGTCCTATTGCAACATTAGATGTAAGAAACAGTAGATGGAATATATTCTTTGCCCTTCATTTAATCCGTGTTTGCACAAGGGGATGGGATAATTCTTGTGCACAGCACTAGGTTTGCACATAGCTGGCTAAAGTGTTCAGCCCAAGTAAGGATTAAGCTTCAGAGCAGCTAGGGTATGTCTATATGGGCAGCTGTGCTAAGCCAATACATAGTGAGGACACGTTCCTTTGCCCTAGGCTGGTCTGTGTAAACCAAACCCATTTTTGAAGGTAAGTTTTGTAGTTTGGGTCACTAAGGAAACACAGAGTCCAGTGAGAATAGACAGAGAAGATTTTGAGAGACAAAGAAACCCATTACTATCAAGTGGCACTCCACTGGGTTTTGAGTGTGTGTGTGTGTGTGTGTGTGTGTGTGTGTGTGTGAGTGTCATGTGACTGCATTCAGCTCCTCCTCCTCTGTCCAAATGGGATCTGAACTGGAGAGACCCAATTTATTTTATTATGCAGTTTGTGTAGCTGATGGGACAAGATGTACATCAGTAGCAACAACAAACCCTGCCATTGTGTTGGCAGTCCTGGGACGCATAATAATTTCTCCTTCCTCTCTTGCTATTGCAGGTCTTTTCAGTTTGGGTGGCAGCCTTGGCTTTTATACACTGTGGGTCTGTTTACCAAGCTTTCTTGGCTCCCAGGTTTTATCCCAAACACTAGCCTTTGCATCTGAAATATCTGACTGGGCTTCAGCTGCTGCATAAGAATGACTCTCTCAATGGCTGCTCCCCTTCAAAGAAGGTTGAGTGGAGGAAAGATGTGTTTTTATGAGTTGAAAGAGGCACATCCTACAGGTTAAAATGTATGAAGCCTATGCAAGAGAGGTGAGGGAAAAGTGATCCTGCAGAATCCCATTTCAAAGTTGTGAACAACCAGTCAGAAAAGGAGGAGAGCCATAGTTAAAATTCTGTTTGCCCTTTAAAAAAAAAAAACCTCTGGAGCTGTGTTGGAAATACAGATGTGTGGATCTGATGGTTTCTGCAGTTTTTGAGCTGTTTCCTCCACACCTTCCGAGCAAATGCTGTGCATAGTTACTTTCAGTCAAGCCCAGTTTCTCAGTTCAGCTGTGTCCTCGTCATCTGCACTTTTTCAATCACTGGGTGGGATTTATTGTTATTGCTTTAAATGTTTATGTTGCATTTTTCTTTATTACATGTATAACCTACTTTTCTGCCAAAAGGGAAAAAAAGAAGCAGCAGCAGCTTATGGCTGCTACCAGTAGTGAAAACAAATATAATTAAAATATAGTGGCTGAAGTTTGCAGTCAGGATGTGCTGAATGGGAGTTGTACAAACATCTTCTAAATCACAACCCCATGCCAAGTGGGGTTTGGAAAGGATCAGTGGTATTATTTCATCTGGGAGGCAATAGCATCATTTGATTGCTTTCCTCCCCTCTCCAGGAGTAAAGCAAAAAAAGTAATACAGAGTGGAATATAAATCCTTCTTCTGTATATTTTATAACATAATTTGATTTTATGGCTGTATTTAGCCTTCACTTTTGCTACCCTGTTTGCAGGGCTTGGCAAGTTATTTTTTAAAAAGAATGAATATGTAGATACACTGATGCTGAATATAAAAAAATAGTGGTACGATGATGCTCAGGGATCCCTGGTATCATCCAACTTGTCACTGCACAGCTGTGGACAGCTTCAGATCATCACCATATTAATTTTTCCTAAAAAAATACCTCCTCAAGCACTCCTTATTTGTTTTACAAGTTGTTGGCCAACGTTTTTTATTGTTTGCCTAATTTGTTTAAAAAGCTTATATCCCAATCCTCCTTGTGTTTTCACACCAGTCATTATGGATAACTATTTAAGCTACTCATAAAACATGTTAAAATAGAACAAAATTACTATAGCAGTGTAATACAAGATTGCCTTCTTAGGCCATATGCAGAAATCTGATACTTTTTAATTTTTCTTCTTCCTTGGCCTCTGTATAGACATTTGACAGAGGAAGTCTCACTCATTGTAATTCTGCCTGATGCAGAGGAAAAAGGTTACTATTGTTGATCTATAAGAGGACTAGCTAGCTCTAATCAGCTGTGTTGGCTGTGGGCAGATTCCCAGCAGGGGATAGTAATATTGAAGAGAGAAACTCACTGGCATCAGGCAACTCATCTGCGATGCGGGATGACTTGCTTCCTTTCTTCATTGCGAGTTGAAATACTTTTTTAAAAATCAGATTTCCATCAGGAGGATTAAGGTGACTCCTCGATTTATCATGATGAAGTTGAAAGGAAGTCCTAACAAAGCATGAACTGCTGGGTAGCTGAATGGGTTAGTTATGTGGCCCTGAAGCCAGAGGTTGGGAGTTCGATTCCCCATTGTGCTTCCATGACAGGGGGCTGGACGCGATGATCCATAGAGTCCCTTCCAGCTCTGCAGTTCTACGATGATGATAAACAGTAGTACAGAAATGTGAAGATGTATCTTAAAACCCAAAAGCTGGTCATAAAAGCTGGATAGATATTGTACAACTTAGAAACTAAGGCTTCCTTTCATAAAAATGACAGACGTGGTGATTAAAGGCAGGAGTGGCTTCTTTTCACTCTTGGAATCCAATTTCGGTTATTTTGTAAGTGTGATTCAGAAGTTATTTATACCTGAAGCTGTGTAGATGACCAGAAGAATGGTGGGGACAGGGGTATGTACACCAGCCTCTTCTCCTCATCTAAAAGTCACTGAGACCTTTCTGTGGGTAATGAGAAAGTCTTACATAAAGAGAGTGTTTAGTCCATTGTGCTTATGGTACTCTCATGATGGGGTACCCTGATAAGGAAAAGCCCTTAATC